TCATGCTTTTCATTTCCGTTGCTAAAGTTGTGCTAACCTAGCTTAAGCTACTCCCTCTCTGTTTATGTTAGCAATAGCATCGCTGTAGTTCTGCCAACCTAGCATAGCGTTAGCTAACAGCTTAAAGCCAGTAAGGAACTGCAGAAATAACTTAAGTGTAGAAAATATGTGAGACCGTTCATCACTCCGTCAGCTTGTTATTAATGATATCAATGCTAACTCAAATGCTAAAGCTATGTTCTGATTCTCCATCAATCTAACAGTGTAGATTAAATGAATGCAGGACTTTAACATTGGCTGGAAATCACAATATGGTGGAAATGAGCTGCTTGGAGGAGGTCTGAGCTCTCAGAGGGCTTCTCTAGTTCCTGTCTGTTAGAGTGTTTTTCTCTATTAATCACATTATCATACTTTGGAATAAAAAGAATACACTTTATTGTCCTACTAAGGCAGTAAAATGTTCTTTAGCCTCATCCAGGGAAACAAACATTTCCTTCAGATTTAAAAAAAACATGTTAAAAAAACTTCCCACTTCCTGTTGTCTACAGTCACATCCTGCTGTGTTCACTCTCATGTTTAATGCTCCAGCAGCTGGAATGAAAGAACCTTGTAGATCTTTGTCTCACTGTTTGTGTCTTTTCCTTCCAGCCATGCTGTGGATCATTGAGAACATCTACGTCTGATGTGGTCTGAGATCTACAGAGAACACGGACATCCAGCTGAGGTTGTCTGAGGTGAAGAGTCTTCTCTCCTTCTTCATCACTGTGAGGAAGAGCAGCACTGACGTCCTCCTCATCTATTTGAGGAACAACAATCATGTTGAGCTTCAGCTCCTTGTCTTCATGAAGCACACTGATCTCATGACTCTTCAGTATTTACACTCCACTGTGAGCTGGGCAACACATTTATTTCATCCATCTATTACAGACTTTGACATGTCTTTCCAGTTCAGAATTGTTTAAATAATGTAGTTTTTTTTAAAAAATGTGTAATAAAGGTGTTAATGAAGCTCTGGTCCTGAATGTGTTCACGTTTCAATGCTGCATCTCTGCTATAAATGACAGCAGCATGTTCTCCGTGTTGTAATGATGCAGCAACAGAGACATGAAGTTAAAGGCGATAAATGAACCTGTGAACACTGAGAACAGAGAATAACAAACAGCTGCTCGGTCCTTCTGTGAGTGGAAGCTGAACAGGAAGTGGTTCACTGAGGATGACGTCCATTCAGTCTCCTTCACAACCAGATGAACGGCTCCACATGAGGTTTTCCTTCTGCTGGCTTCACTCACAAGATCTTCAGTGGACATGAGACACACCTGAGGTGGAGACAGATGTCACAGCATCAGTTCATTTAAATTAACCCTGGAAACATTTCCTGTTTCATGTATTGTTTGTGAAGCACCTAAAGAAAGAAAGGCCTGTAGCTGGAGAGATTTTCTTCTTCATCCTCTCTGTGCTGCATTTTAAATGTTCTATTTACCTGTAATGTCACTACTTTGGTGTTATTCTGGGAGTTTATTCTTCCATCTGCAGTCAGAAGAACTACAACATGTGCATCAGTCACTAAACAACAACACGTGACGTTACAGATCAGAGTGGAGACGAACAGTTTGATCAGTCAGACATCAGACATCAGATCTTCAGGACTACTGATGGAACCTGAACGTTACTGTTTTCATCACGTTTAAGTTCCCTAAACGTTACGTTAACGTGGACCAGCGTCTCCACGGACAGTTTTGTGAACTCAGTGACCACATCACAGCAACACA